AGGCCGCACGGCGGGTGGCGGAAGGCCTCGTGGCCAGTGGGCACGCCCGGCGCGGGCGGCGGCTCCCAGAAATGAGGCCGAGACGAGGGTGGCGAGGGGAGCGGAGCCATGGAAGGTCACCCCGGGGTGCTCCTCGCGTCAAAGCAGGCGGGGCACAGCTTGGGGAGTATTTGCAAGCCGGTGTCCAGGAAAGGACCTGCACTGATGGACGACCCCGCACCTCAGCCATAGAGGCAGCTCAAGCAGGGACAAAGGATTTCCTAGTGGACGACCCTGCGGAGAAGAGGGCGAGGGGTCGCCGTGAGGTTGATTATGTGCACACACAGAACTGGGGCACAGGCCAGAGGTGCGCGGGCGGTGAGTGGGGCGCAGGACCGATGGGTCGACTGAGCCCCACGGCCGAGGGGGCAGCGGGCGCGTCAGGAGGGGCCTGCTGCGCCCCGGGGTCACGCCCTAGCCGGGGATCGAACTCCGCTGCCGCGGCTGCAGACGGCTCACTTGGTAGCGCCGCGCTCTAACCCGTCGGGCCACCAGGGAGGGCCTCCGTAAGCGTTCCTCTAAGAAAAGGCACGATCGTCCGCGGGCCCATGGAGCATGGCTCCACAGCACGGCCGCCCAGGAAGTGGGTGCAAACTGCAGCGAGGGGCAGTCTCACAGCCGTGGGAGGGCCCCGGAAGGCACCATGTCGGCAACGGAGCAGCTGACCGGAACCCGCCATCCCCTAGCGGAGAGCAAAAAGGGGCGGCCCCCTTGGAAACTAGCGTGGCCGTCCTCAGCAGGACGGAAGTCCCGATGGCCCAGCAGTTCCCAGTGAGTTATCTGCTCCGGAGATCTGAAGACGCCGGCCCACAGAAAAACCGCACGTGAGTGTGGGTATCTGCACCATTTGTAAGGGACAAAGTAAAAACAACCCGATGCCCATCAGCTGGTGAACGGATAAAATGTGCCCGGGCTCTACCGTGGAATACTACTCGGCGGTGAAAAGGAGCAAAGTGCCGGTGCTGCTACTCCACAGAAAAGGCTCAGAAACTCCACCGAGGGCGCGAAGCCACTCCCCGGGCAGCACACTGTGGAGTCCATTCACGTGAGGTGTCCGGAACGGAGCGATTGCTACAGACTTGGATGTGGCCCGGGGGGTGCTGGAGGCGGGGGCGGGGGGCAGGGAATGGGGGTGGG